GTGTAACTAGGATAATTGGATATCATACGTGGAGTACAAAGCGAATAATGTACAAAGTGAAATGTTTATGGGGAAGATTAAATTTGTTATACTAAATACATAATGGGAAAATATTTTATCACAGTTCAACAGTACAACATAAAAATATTTATGAAAGAGTAATTTATATGCTATTCTGCTATATTTAGTCACCTATTTCAGCTGCTTACAATTCAATTGTGGTGTTCCGAAAATAGCTCCCAATGACAAAACAACTGAGAAGAGAATCAATGTGCATCCATTGAAACTTTATTGACATATTTGTTTAATGATATTGTGATAATATTTGGAGGGCTGGGAGCCTAATAACACCATAAGACTGTAGAATAGTGGTGTGTACCTTATGCTAATATTTTCAACCTTATGAAGCTATTCAAACTCTTAAAACTCAGGGATTGATTATTCAGCTCTTCTGTTCAGATGGTTCGAGTAATGTTTGATTTCTCATTCACTACTTCTCCCTTCTTCCCTGAGGGGAGCGCACCACTCACCGCCTCTCCTCAAGGTTATGGCCGACATCACAATTGTGTTCTATACAGAAGTGTGGGAATAGACCTGTCTCCCAGCGCTTCACAGCACAGTGCATTTGAGAACAAAAAGACAAAAACTGTCTCTCTGTTCAGTTGTCTATTAGTCACATTCTTGCTTCAGAGTCAGAAGGTTGTGGGTTCAAGCCCCATGTCAGGATTTGGAACAAATATGGTCTATGCTTGCACTCCAATGCAGTATTGGGGGGGGGGGGTGTTGCATTGTCAGAGGTTTCATCCTCCAGATGAGATGATAAAACGTTGATGTGCAGAAATTGGCTGTTTCGTTCGCCCACAAGATAATAGTCACACCATAAAAATGTAAATTGTATTGTATACATGTTGGTAACAAGAAAACACGTCCAGAGCATATATTGCATGATGCATATATTTGCCCTATAGGCACCAAATAATGCAGGATGCACTTGTCGCTAGAGAATAGGGGTAAAATCACTTTTGCAACCTTTTCTTTTATTTTCCTTACTTGCATGGTAGAGAGTAGGAATTTACCAGCTCCTTTTTATTCTTCACTCCATGATGCTTGCTGTAATCCTGGACTTCAAGATAATAATATATATGTGATATATATATATAATTTATTATATGTAATATTTATCTTACAATCTAGCTCTCCACTATTTTTCATTTCACCAGAAAATATTGTATTCAATCTTTCAAATGATATATTAAGCAGTGGATTTAACAATTAGCCTGCTCAGCTGGACGTTAGCAATCTCATGAGAATATTCAAAAATAAGTGAGTTTTTCTCAGTGTCCTGGCCAACAATCCCACAAATTAATTGGTCATTCATCTCTTGGCTGTTTGCATTGTCTTGAGTGCATAAATTCCTGCCACTTTGGCCTACAAAACTAGTCACTAACAGTAATTACTTTTCAAATGATTTGAGAAGTTGACGTGAAGCTGGCAGAAGAACGTAAGTTTTTGTTTCTTTTTAATGGAATACATCTCTTGTTCTGTTAAATACTGAATAGGGATGGCAAGTTGCAATATTACAATCAGTCCTTTGTCAGATCTTTGTGTCAAGGGTACAAGGCAGATTTTGTTTCTGGTGGACATTATTATGATTTATCATTGACATTTTTCAAGTGCAGATTGTCAAAGAGGGTCGGGGAGTTGTAACGTGAACGTGCAAAGCAGTTATTGTATTTGCCCTCCTCGCGCTCCTCAACTCACACCCTCAGTTTGGTCACCCAGCCAGTACTGTCAAGTGCTTTGGAACGTCCTCCCTTGTGTGAAAGGCATCATATAAGTGTAAATTGTGTTTGTATTTCACAGTATTCATACAGACAATTTCTGTATCAATTATTAATATATTTACAGTTGGCTACCATGTAAAGTACAGGAGCATTTCAAAGATTGCTTCACTGCAATTTACTGATGTAACTACTTAGTACAGGCAGATTCAATGTGAACTACTTTAGTCAACAAAAAAAGGTATTCCACTAACTGGCAAAGGTCAGGGGTCCACTGATCCATGTGTCTTTTCAACATCACAATAAGAACAAATTACATTTGACCTCTTTATTACATTTCACCTCTTTATTTTAATTTATTTGTGTATTTATTTATTTACTTATTGATTGATTTGATTGATTCATGCTTTATTGCCTTCAGTCACCCTCCTACCCCTACCCACGCTCCACCCCGCCCAATCCCAACCACCAGCTCAGATGAAGACCCCCGACTGTCCAACGCCTTAGGAGATCCTCCGAATTTGAAAGGCGCTATACAAATGTAATATTCCTATTTTTTTTACATAACTACACAGTAACATCACAGATTTTGTAATGAAGTCAATTGGAATGAAATTCAATTAAGAAAGGACTGTTCAAAACCTTAAGAGTGTTCTGGAATTGATGGCCCCAATCTTATGTTTGAAAAAGAACATTTTGTCCATCTGCATCTTAGTCCATACCTGCTGTTCTGGCCTCAGGCGTGAAGAACAGTAAATTGTGAAGCGTAAAGAAGTTTGGAAGTTTTATGGTATAGAAGTTAAAAAATGAAATTACATGAGTCAGAGAATGAGAAATCTAATAACTTACAGGATAAAATTACAGCCAATGAGGCAGTATCTTCAAAACTGAGCATACTGAGCTGGGAAATGGCTGACCGATTTAATGCAGATTATGAAAGAGAACAGTCCATAAATCTAGTGGTGCAGTGCGTAATGACCACAGGCAATGCTTCAACACGAACATCACAATGCTGCTTGGCAAATGCAATGGTGAGCTGTTCGCCTTCCCCCTCTTCTGTGACTATTACCATATCATCTGGGACCCAGACACACCTTTTCTCTCTCTGGTCTGCCTATTTTGTGGCAATTTCTCCCCCTTTTTTTGCATTATTAACACCTATATTCCCCTGTTTTGTTGCAATCCCCCCCCACCCCTTTGTTTTGCATCATACAACAAAATTACATTTGTATAGCACCTTTCACGCCAAGGCACTGGACAGACAGAGATTCGGACCTGAGCTGGGGGTCGGGTTCGGGGAGGGTGGAGAACAGGTGGGGGGAAGCAGGGAGATTGAAAGCAGTCGAAGAGGAGGGTCTTGAAATGGGTCTTGAAGGTGGCAAGGGTGGAGGAACTGCGGGATGGAGTTCCAGAGGTGGGGGCAGAGTGGCGGAAGGCCCACTTGCCAATGGTAGGGCAGGTGAGGCGGGGGACAGGCCGGAATCCACTGAGCAGAGGGAGTGAACAGGATGGTAGAGTTTAGGTGGTTGTAGAGGTAGGGGGGAGCAAGGCCATGGAGGGCTTTGAAGGTGAGGACCAGGATCTTGAACAGTATCCTCTGTGTGATGGGTCAGTGGAGTCGGTGATAGGGTCATGGAGCCTGGTGTGGGAGAGGACGTGGGCTGCAGAGTTCTGGATGATCTGCAGCCTATGGAGGGAGGAGTTGGGGAGGCCGACAAGCAATGAGTTTACATAGTCGAGCCTCGATGTAATGAAAGCATGTATGAGGGTTTAGGAGGCCTGCAGTGTGAGACAGTGTTGGAGCCGGGCGTTGTTGGGGGAAGGCAGAGCGGGTCATGGTGCAGATGTGGGGTAGAAAGGATAGTTGAGGGTCAAACAAGACGCCAAAGTTCCGGCCCAGCTTAGCGATATGGAGTGTGCAGCCATGGATCGTGATGCTGTCAGCGCCTTTGCCTTCCTTGCCCTGCCTCCCCACTCTCTGTTTAGCCCTTAAAAGCCTCTCACTCCCAAAATGCCTCACTTCTGACGAAGGGTCGTGGACCCAAAACATTGACTCACTTTCCTTTCTCCATCGATGCTGCCTAACCTGCTGAGTGTTCACAGCGACTTCTGTTTTTGTTTCAGATTTCCAGTATCTGCAGAATTTTGCATTTTACCTCATTATGGCTACCTTTTCCTCCTGAGTGAAGTTCCCAGCACTAATTCCAGCTGCTGCCTTAACACTGTAACTTTGCAGTGTGAGGTTTCTTTACTAAACTAAAATGCTTCCAAACTGGAGGAATTGGACATTGTTGTATTTGCAGAATTTGCCTTCGGTCACCTCCCTCCCCTTTCCGACTCGGCATTAAACCTCACTGCTTTTAAGCACTTCAAGACACTATCCATGTGAAGGGCACTATTATAATTGCAAGTTGTTGTTCAGGATTTTAAAAAAATGAATGTTCTTATTTACTACTTCTCACCAATCTCCTCGAAACCTTGCTCTGGACAGAAAAATCCTGTGTTACTCAAATTCCAAATTGCAACTGATTTTTTCCCACACAATCAACCTTCCAAGGTCACTTCTTACATTGTGGCAAGAATCAAGAGGCATGGCCAAAGCAGGATGATGCAAGGGCACATTTAAAATTCACGAGCCTCAATGGAGACAAGAATGTTTCCCCACAGTAGTTGATATGTAGAACGAATTTCTACAGGAAAAGGCACTTAACATTGGTTCAAAAAGTTGAATAAATATCTGGAACAGGAGCAGGGATTGGTGATTGTATGGACAGGTAAATTCAAATCAAATACTCCATAGATAATTTCTGTGCTGTTGATGTCAGGTTTGCAATCTGTGGAGGACAGCAGATGAATACTGTAATTCAAAGACGTATTCTTGTGTTTTGCTTCACTCCTTTGGACTTCAGGGAGTATGTATATGACATGTTTCCCCATGATAGGACAGATTGCATGATAGGCTGTGAGAGTTATCGGCTTGATTGGGAGAAGTAATATTCTTCCTCCATACTTTTTTTAACATTATAATGTAAATGAATACAATATTCTTATGTAAGTGAGCCCACAGTAAAATGCATCAATATTCTAAGCCAATCTTAAAATATGAACTTCACTGCAAATAACTTCAAGTGCAAACATTGTCATATTATCATTGACATAATGTAAAAATAGCACAGAGTAATAATATACCATAGCCAAAAAGAAGTTATGAGGCGCACGTTTAAATATCAAAAGTAGCTTTATTGTAAGTGCTTTCAACTAGAAGAGTTGCTTAGAACACGTGATATCGTCCATTTCTTTCACAGCTCATTTGTTTAGCACTTTGTCAAAGTAAAGATTTATCTTTGTGAAGTCTCATGGTTGAAGTCTGTGGGATTTAACTCATCCATTTAAAATCTTTATTTACTTCTGTGTTAATGGAAAGGAGTTTTGGTCCATTAAGTCCCCTACTTTTTCTTGTAAAATCTGAACCACCTCAGCCAAGACAAAAAGATGGGTTTCATCCAGGTCCTGAATTATGAATTTTTTCCCCAAAGCATTCGTATCATCCAAGTAGAGGAGAAACTGCTTCATGGCTGGGTCACTAGACAAAGGGTTAGAAGAAAGTGTTATATTTGGAGTTCACTCATAATATGCCACTCTAAGTGCAGCCAACAAACATTCTTAAATAGTACAAACTGTTATTCATATAGTCAGCCTTGGTAGATGGGTTGTCGTTCTTTCCAATGTAGTCTAATATGTAAATTTATTTTACTGTGAATAAATGTTGCATGAACTATAAATGAATTACAAAGCACAATCAGTAATCAACAGATTTCTCTTGTTAAAATAATTAATATCTCCTTTAGTAAAACTTTGACCATATTCCTGGTTTTACCTCAGCGTGGGAATGGAGATTGAGATAAGGTTGTTAGAAAGAATTCCTGGAATCATCTGTCATGTGGATTGTGGCATTTCGGAGTCCTGTAGCTCAGTGGTTGGAGCACTCGCTTCGCAAGTGAGAGACTGGATTCGATTTTCATCAGGACAACATTGCAATGCAATACCGAGACTTTATCTTATAGTCTTGGGGTGGGGGGGGGATTATTAATGGGATAGAGGACATGTTTAGGCAGAAATCACTATATCGGAGAAAGATTGCCTGAAGACCCAACAGTCGGATGGATGGATGGATGGAGGTTAAATGTTAAATGAGGTTAAATGTTGCAGCCGCTCCTGGTTGTGTGTATGCGGGTGAGGAACATGTTGGAACTGCGTGTGTGTGGGAAGAATAGTCTGTACTGGACCTGGTGTGAGGTTTTGTGTGTTTGAGGGTCAGTGCTGGAGCTGTGTGTGTGTATTGTGGATAGTGTGTTCCATTGTGGGGCAGTGTGTGTGTGTGGGGGGGAGGGGGGCAGTGTGAGTGTGTGTGGGGGGGGAGGGGGGGCAGTGTGTGTGTGTGGGTGGGGGGGGGGCAGTGTGTGTGTGTGGG